GCTGGCGGGGCGCCCACCGTCCCGGGCAGCGCTCGCTTGGCCTCCCGGCTCGCAAGCTGGTCTTCCCGGAGCCATGCTGCGGAAGGGAGGGAAAGGGGGGCTTCATAGAAGGCGAGGTGGCACGGAAAGGGCTGCTTAGGGGACCCAAAGGGTAAGGCCTATCTAATTCCTGATGTGTCAGCCCTCACTTGTCACAGTCCAAGTGCCTGACATCTCTGAGACAATCCCTCTCTGAAAATCTAGGCCTGTGAGGGGGACGTTGGTGAGCATCTCTGGAGATCCCCCTCCCTCCCAGGGACCCCTGAGCTCATCTTCCTCTCAGCACCCAGGAAGGGCAGAAGGGCCAGCTTTTCAAGCTTGGAGCTGCCAACCCCCAGAGCTGTCAACCAAGGGGTTGTCTCCAGAAGAGGAAGAGACTGGGAAAGGATAGAGGGGGCCATTTAGAGTCAAGCAGAGTCAATCCTTCTTTAAGACTGATGTCACATCAGAGGTTCTCCAAGATTCTCAGGCATGGAGGCCCCAGCAGCCTGAGCTCATACAACTCACCTGACCATCACAGTCACACTCCCGCGCAGTCATCTGACAATGGGGCGACAGCTGAGAGGAACGGATGGTCTATTACATGTGAAAGTTGTGCACAGAGTAACTACCTCACTTGCAGTGTGCAGACCGCCCGGATTTTAATGAAAAGTTGGGAGAACGCTGTTTTTCTGGTTTTTGTTGTTCTCTCTCTTCTAATTTCTTGGGTGATTTTTCCAAAGGAGACTATTTCTTAAGAAATGTAGTGAAGGATTTAAAATCAAATAATGAGACATGTTTCTGACTTAGACTATCAGACTATTGAGAGCTAGCCTATGTGTAATTTGCTTTCACAATTTCCTCACTGACTGCCATGACCAGGCCCTCTTAAATGTTTAACAGTAGCAGGGGCCCCTGCAGGGTGGCTCTGGAGATTTGTCCCTACTGAAGGATGCTCTCTACTTCAATGTATATTTTGCTAATTAGACAAGGAATCAAGGGTTGAGAGCAATGCCATGCCATTGGAGCCTGAGGCCAAAGGAAGAATGGGAGCCACTAGGTACACTTACCAAGTTATCCTTCCATATTCTAAATCAAATGGAAAATATCAAAAAACACTCCATAATCACAAAACGACTGTATTTAAACACCATGTTCTCCATTTGCGTACACCCCATTGTGCACCAGGGAACCGTCAAGATGCCCAGGGACCACAACTTGAATAGAAGTCACTTTCCCTGTTTAGTGTCATAAAACAGACAAAACAAAAACACCTACCTTTGCATCAACTCTTGATACTGTGTTCATCATAGATTTGGGGTGTTTATTTGGATTTTTTAAATGTTGCATTAAAATTTGATTTATCCTGAGTGCTGAGATTTTTGGTCCTTTCAGTCTGGTGCCCAATGTGAGTGTTAGGCTGACCTACCCTAGTCCCTGCCCTTGCTGACACCATTTGTTAGTCTGACCGTGGTATAGAGTCCTGTAGAGGCTACCTCTCAAGCAGAGGCCTTGCTGGGCCCGGTAGCCCCCCCTCACACTCTCACCATTTCAAGACGGGTTCCTGGTAGCCCTACCTCTGCTTCAGGGTCCTCTGCTGCCTGCAATCACCTGGGTCCCTTTACCTCTGTGATAAATACTTTGAGTCAAATCAAGCATCATCCAGGAGGTTTTTATCCATTAAAACCCCAAAATGTGCAACCGGTGGAGGATTTGGGACTGGGAAGAGTGATGGGGATAAAAGATTTGCAACAGGCAGAGTAGCTGGGGCAGATAAGAAAGTTGCAGCAGGGAAGAGCCAGACATGGAACCAGGCCCTCCTGGCAGGAAGCTGGCCTTCCTAGGTAAGAGAAAGCAGAGCTCTGCTCCCTCTCCCATGTACCTCATATGATGTGGACTATAGCCCAGGGAGGCCTAGGAGCAAGGTAAAGAAGGACAAGCAGAGAAGAGAACCCCAGTCCCTGCCACCATCTCCTCTCTTCAGGACCCCTGCGGAAGCCTCCATTGTGACCCCCTGCCTGCCAAGCCATCTCTTGCACACTAGATTGTGTAACTATTTTTTTTGCCATGCACGCTAGATTGTGTAACTTGCAGAAAATACTCCAGAATGGACTTCAAATATTTCAGCCAGGCTTCGTGAACCTATGAAACTAGTTCTACCTGCTACCTTGTCCAAGCCTTGTCCTGGCTTCCAAATGTTTTCACTCTTCCCTGAACTAATTTTCATTCTTCCTCATTTTCACCAGAAAAAACAATCCTGAGGCCAGGGTCAGAGAACAGTCAGAAGAAACTTCGCGGCCTCGTGAGCAGCTCCTCCACCTGAAGGATCCCCGGGTCTCCAGGGTCCCCTGAGACAGAAGAATTCCAGGCACCCAGAGCCAGCTACTCACTTGAGCCAGCAGTGAGAGAGCAGGGTCCACACTTATTAGGCCATTTTTCCTTGGGCAGAAACCATTCTTGGATGCTTTAAAAGATCTATTCTTATGAGAGCAGTGTCTTTTAAATGGCTATTTTGCTCTCCTATACTAAAATCCGTGTTCTCCTTTTTTTTTTTTTTTTTTTTGGCAGTGCTAAGGATTGAACCCAGAGCTTTGCACACACTAAGAAAACATTCTATCATCAAGCTTCACTTCAAACCCCTCCAATGATATGTTTAAATTGCAGTCATTTAGGTAGAAATTACCATGAAAACCTGTGATGCGGGGTTTCTGAATGGGGCCTAATGTTGTATGACTTCGAAGTAATGTGGTTTGAGGATAGGAAAGGGAAGTAAGAAAAGGAAAACAGCTTTAGAGAAGAAGGAACTACAACCTATTTGAATTAAAACTAGGAAAGCCAGCAGAAGATTCCGCATTGTTCCTACTAGGATGGCTACAGGGAGAAATACAGATAATAACAATTGTTTTCAAGTGTGTGGAGAACCTAGAATACTGTGCGTTGCTGGTAGGAAGGTAAAATGGCAGTGCTGCTATGGAAGATAGTATGGTAGATCCTCCCAAAATAAAAATAGAATTACCACATGACCCAGCAGTTCCATTCCTGGGTAAATACCCAAAAGAACTGAAAGTAGGGACTTGAGCAGATACTCACACAGCCATGTTGATAGCCACATTATTCATAGTACCCAAAAGGTGGAAGAAACCCAGGCCTCTGCTATCCATTCATCAGTGGATAAACAAGTGTGATATCGTACCGTGGAATCTTTTTAGTC